GTGATATATATATATATATATATATATATATATATATATATATATATATATACAAATGGTCAAGGTTCAATCCCTTGTATTTGCACTCAACTTTAATGTTAAGGCTTTAAACCACAATTGTAACACGAAAACCTTATCTGCCGTCAAATGACCATCGATGTCTATACCAGGTAGCACCGCTTACACGACCCAGGTTTTCTGATACGAATTGATGTCGCCCCCGACCATTTGGGTCTATTAAGAGGTCATTCTAGGATAATCTTGAACGGAGTCNGTCTCCAGACTAAACTTATTTCTGCTGTCGACTAGATATTGCAACATTAAGCCAATGATATTCCCCACAGTAACCCCGACGAGGGAACACCAGACAATGTTCCGGCTTTCACTTGGATAAACCTTTTGTCACGAGTCAAATATAACGGAAACCGTAAATCTTCTGCAAACCATTGGTTTTTTCGATGGGGTTATATTCTCAGTACTTCTCTCCGTGTGTTCTAGGGTACAGATATACCAATGGAAGTTCCTTTACCCGAAGAGCCCTACACCACACCAGAAGAGCATGAAACGATACGCGATTGGATTTTGACCGCATCTATGGATCAGAAATTAGACCAGTCCTTGCCTAAAGACGAAAGAGGCGTGTATGTGGCCGCCCTAAAAGCTCCCGGTACTGGACTGAGCGCACTTCCGTGCATTCTGAGTGGCTATCCGGTGTTGAGAAATGCCTTAGAATTCGAACAGCCAAACAAAGTCGCTATCCGAGAGTGCTGGAATCAATTCCAACACGCGTGTAAAATGACGCGTTCATCCGAATGCTCTGATGTGAAGGAATTCATTCAAAGATGGTGCGGTCTTCCTCAAATTGGATCAAATCAAATGAATATATGATTGACCTAGAAGCACAGCTTTCTGTCCAATTGTTTCCCCCATTTATCCATTTCTATTGTCATCCTCCCGAGAACGAAACAGAGTTTTCCTTTCTTCTCTCTTGTCCTCTCATGTTCTCAAGTCCCCGGGACTTAATCTGGGGCTATCGGTACAAAAGCGACACCATCGTTAAATGGTTGTTATTGAAAAACCATTGTCATGTTTTGTTTTCACCGTTGGAAAAAATAAACTGTCACTTAACGGAACAAATGCGTTACCCATTTTGAAGAAACGCGCACCGTGGTCGTTTTCTTTTCAGCGTTGGCTGAATTCCCATAGGATGCTTCAACGAAGGTAAAAAAGATTTCCGAACAGCGAACGATAGTATCTAACGGCGAATGAACTCAGCTTGCCAGCGTTAGCACACAAAGTGATATAGAACCACTGAAACAATACGAAATCTTTCAGTATCAATCATAGCGCTGGCCAATTTCAAGCAGTACTAAGATAAACAAACATGAATAATAATCCAGGATTAATAAGCGTTTGGTTAGTTAGCACAAATCCCCAACCTCGATCAAATTAAGTGGTTGCTATGGCATCCACCATCGTGTAGGCCTGGATCACTACAACTCTCCTCCCTCAAAAGAGCTTCCTCANGTCGTCGGAGTGCTAGTGGGGTATCCTCGTCGGTTGACATTCCCTGAATAGAGGGCTGTTGCGTATGATCTTCGGTAGATGTTGACGGCGTATCACAGGGCAGGTTTTGTTGAGTTCCTTCGGCAAGGTCTTCAGTCGAAGTCGGAGTTTCGTTGAAGTGAATTTGGTCGATGTGGCGTTGATGGACCGTTGCATCTGTCAGATCAGTGATCTCGACCATAGCTTGACCAATCTTGCCGGTAATGATTCCTCTTGATGGTCGCAAGTCGTTTCCCCGGAAGTATATGACGCCGCTCGAATCCACACATCGCAGTGAGGAATTGTAAGCCTCTGGCTTTGAACAGTTTTGCTGGGCTCTCTTTGGTAGTAGCATGTGCAGCATTCCGGTATTGCAGTAGGAAGTTGCCTAGGAGTATCTCCAACTCTACAATTGTCCTTGGATTTGCAGAGCAAATGGCACTCTTCGCTGTTTTTACCAAATTTTCTGCTGTGCCGTTCGAGCAGGGGTGACGTAGTACTGTGCGTAGATGTCGGCAGCCAATACTGTCCAGCCACGTTTTCAACTCCGCCGCGCAGAATTGCGATCCATTATCAGTCACCAAAACTTGAGGCACACCCTCTCGACTGAAACATTTCCGTAGTACTCGTATCACAAACGATGTAGTTGGTGTGCTGGTTAGAAACACTTCAGGCCATTTGGAGTATGAATGGATAAGTACTAGTGCGTGATAATG